TTTGACTTCACTCTGACTCAGATCCGCCCCACTTACCTTCCTCCTGTACCCACCACCAGGTTATCCCCACACCTCCCAGTCTGGACTTCCATCATCGTAGCCATTGGCTATGCCATAGAATTCACACACTAACCACCTCACAACTTCATCATAACGTCTCCATCCGATACCCTTCACCAAAAGATCCGGTCCCTGATCTCAAAGGACGCTATTTCACCCGTCACCATCATAGTAGACCACCCAGGTTTCTTCTCTCGGTACTTTACCATCCTGAAAAAAGACAGGGGATTGAGACCCATCCTCGACCTAAGGGATCTCAACTATTACATCTATTCCAGATGTTTCCGGATGGTCACGCTAGAACAAATATTGCCCATACTTCAAGAAGGCGATTAGTTCGCTGTCATAGATCTCAGCGACACGTACTTTCATATTACTATACGCCACCAGCATTGAAAATACCTGTGGTTTGCCATAGGAGAACACACCTTCAAATTCAAAGCCCTCCCCTTCAGCCTCTCTACGGTGCCAAGAGTACAGTGGTGCCTCGCTTAACGAGCCCACCATTTAACGACGAATCTGCATAGCAACACTTTTTTTGCGATCGCTAATGTGATCGCATTGCGATGTTTTAAGTTGCAAAACATCGCAATGCGAAGATCGTTAAGCGTTTCACTTACCGATCTTTGCATTGCGATGTTTAGAAAACAGCTGGTCAGCGGTTCCAAAATGGCCAGCGGGTGCAGAAAATGGCCACCCGCAGCGTTTTTGCACCCTGCCCTCGCTTACCAAGGTGGCGAAAATGGCAGCCGGATGGGGAATCTTCGCTTACCGGTGAGTTTTCCCCCCATAGGAATGCATTAAACTCCGTTTAATGCATTCTTATGGAGTTTTACGTTCCATATAGCGATGTTTCTGGATAGCGACGTTAATCCTGGGACGGATTAACGTCGCTATGCGGGGCACCACTGTATTTACAAAGTACATGACTCCTGTGGCAGTGCGCCTCCATACTCTGGGAGTTACAGCCTTTCCTTATATAGACGACTGGCTAGTGGTCACTCCATCCCCCTCACAAGCCTTAAAGGACATTCACGTCACTCTTTCCCTCCTGGCGGATCTGGATCTCAGAATCAACGAGCAAAAGTCCGTTCTTGCGCCCACCCAGTGCATTACCTACATCGGTGCCGAGTTAGATTCCACACGGGCAAGAGCCTTTCTTCCCCACGAAAGACTCATAAAAATCCACACCCTACCACACCAATTCCACCCATACGCTCTCGTCAAGGCCCACGCCGCCCAACGTCTTCTGAGCCTAATGGCCTCAACAACTTCTACCATTCTCCAAGCCAGATTGAAACTTCACTCCTTTTGATCCTGGTTCCTCACCCTCTTCAAGCCCATGACAGACTTCTGTGAGGAACTACAGAACTCTTCCCAACTTCGCTGGTGGGACACACCATGCAACCTCCTCATGGGTCGCTCCTTCTCCCCTCTACAACCCACAACTCAAACTGTGACAGACGCCGGCACCACAGGATGGGGCACTCACTGCAACGAACTAAAGATCCATGACCAGTGGTCACTCAAGGAACAAATGCTCCACATAAACAAACTAGAGCTTCTTGCCATTTTCAAAGCTCTCAAAGCCTTCAAACCACTCATCGTGGGCATTGTCGTACAAATCACTACAGACAACACAACAGCTCCCTCTTACCTCAACAAACAGGGAGGCACCCGCTCCCTTCCCCTCCTTTATCTAACTGTTCAAATATGGGAATGGTGTTTGGAGTGCCACGTCTTTCCCATGGCAGTCTATATAGCCACGCATGGCAGTACGGTGGCAGATGAACTTAGTCGTCTGAGAATCCACATGCACGAATGGTCGCTAGACCACACGACATACCTCAACCTGTGTAAACGCTGGGGAACTCTCAACATCGCCATGTTTGCGACCCCCAGCAATACCAAATGTGACATCTTTTACTCCAGAGGAGGAGTCTGATGCGGATCCATGGAAGATGCTCTGATGGCAGATTGGTCCAAATGCCTCGATTACATGTTCCCTCCCTTCCCATTCCTTCTGCACACCATAGCTAAAATCAGGCTGAACCACGCCTACATGATCCTGATTGCCCCATGGTGGCCCAGGCAGCCGTGGTTCACACTCCTCAAAGCACTGAGCAGCGGCCTCTTCCGATTGCCACCGGTCCTGCACCTACTGTCACACCATTGCCAAACTCACCACCCAGACATACGGACCCTCAACCTCACAGCTTGGAGGATCTTGCCTCCGTAAATGAAATCCTGGCTCATGCACGTAAGCCTTCTACAACTAGGCTGTACTCCTGCAAGTGGTCTAGCTTCAAAAAATTTGCTACACAACTCAATTTACCAACCTCATCTATGAACCTTGACACTATTCTCGAGTTTCTATCCCACAATTTTCATAATCACCTCTCTCTTTCAACTTTGAAAATCTACCTCTTTACAATCATCGCTCATCAACCACACACCTCAGACACCTCCATGCTCTTCCGTCACCCAAAACTCAAGCAGTTCTTGCGAGGTATTGCCAACATGTGCCCTCCTGCTCCTTCACCACCTCCGCAGTGGTCTCTTCCTCTAGTGCTGCACTGCCTCTCTCATCCTCCTTTCGAGCCACTGGCAACTGCATTGGAATACCTTCTCTCACTGAAGACACTGTTTCTTGTCACCATAACCTCTGCACGTAGAGCTTCAGAACTGGCCGTGTTGTGGACTGACCCACCCTTTCTCCAGTTCCACCCCAAAAAGGTCACTTTATTCCTGGACGTCTCATTCTTGCCTAAGGTGGTGTCAACGTTCCATCTGTCACAGCCTATTATTCTCCCCACGTTTTTTCTGTCCCCATCAATGGACCTTGAAAGGTCATTACATTCACTAGATGTAAAGAGGGCCCTATCCTTCTACCTCTCCAGAACGGCCTCTTTCAGAAAGTCTAAAAGACTCTTTGTCTCGCCGCACCCTCCTCACAGAGGATCCCATGTATCTTCACAGACTATTTCGAGGTGGTTGGTCTCCACTATTAAGCTAGTGTACCAAATTGCCAAGAGAGCATTACCTGATGGCATCAAAGCTCATTCTACTAGAGCCACTGCTACCTCTGCAGCTTTCCTTCGTGGAGCTCCATTTGCAAAGCTGCCACGTTGTCCTCGCCATCCACATTCACTGCCTACTAAAGAATGGACGTGAGGGCCAAGGCTGATGCCTCCTTTGGTTGGGCTATGCTGTCCTCAATCATGTCGTGATGTCCCTCCACCTCTGAGGTAAGCTGGTCAGTCACCCATTAGTCTGCATTCCCAGAGCCCATGAAGAAGAGAGGTTACCTACCTGTAACTCTGGTTCTTCGAGTGGTACTCTGTGAATTCACACTTCCCGCCCATCCTCCCCTCTGTCCATCACTCTTTCATTAATTATGCACAGGTGGACTACCTTGAGAACTGAGGTACCCGGAGGGCGGGCAGACCTCATAGATGGGAGGGGGCAGTCCTACTTAGATTAGCAGAAAGCTCTAGAATATTCCAGAGATCTCTGCACCAGCACAGAGTTAATCTATTAGTGTGAATTCACAGAGTACCACTCGAAGAACCAGAGTTACAGGTAGGTAATCTCTCTATTTTCTTCCACAGTCCCCTGTGGGAGATTGGAATTCCGATCAGGGATTGGAAATTTTTATTTTAAAAAATGCCACATTTTATATGATGTTAAGTTATGCTGATGGATTTCAGCTATAAATTTTCACTCTACTTTCAATGTTAATTTTATTTAATGGGTTTATTTACTTTTTAAAATTTATTTTCATTGTATTAACTTATTTTCAAACTACATTTATATTCTACCTTCAGTGGAATATAAACATGTGCTCACGTAGTTTACAGTAAATGCTGATTCAGCAGCATTATTTTAATATATAGAAGTCATATCTACCAGGAAGAAGAAAAACCTGTATTTGTACAGTAAATTCAAAAAACTACACAGCAAAAAGCAATACAGTGGACCCTCAAGTTACAGATGGCTCCACTTACAGACTTTTCGAGTTACAGACTTCTCTGGCTGCAAAATTTAGGTTCGACTTGCAGCTGGACAATCAACCTACAGACCGGGGAAAAAACTCAGAATGGAACAAAAACGGCCGGTTACGGATTAATCGGTTTTCAATGCATTGTACATCAATGGAGCCTCAACTTACAGACTTTTCGATCTGCAGCCACTGTTCCAATACAAATTAATTCCGTAAGTTGAGGGTTCATTGTAAACAGACCAATAATTGAACATTTTCTCTTTTTTTCACAATGCTATTTACTGTCTTTTAGGTAGATATATTTTAGTAGTCTTTGTGGCTACATTCCAAATCTTTGAGAGTAGGAGATTTAGTATCACACATTTAATGGCTATTAACATTTCAGCTGCAGTTAATAGATTCCAAATAGGTACAGTAACAGTGCTCTTTTTCAATATCCTAAGAAAATATTACATGAGAATTCTGTCATTCAGAAGCTTGTCATTTAAGAATTGAAACAGACGTCTAGTGTAAATTATGACAACTGGGAAATGTGCACAGTTTTCTAGACATGGTGGTTGATATTTTGCCCTTGAAGACAAACCTAGAGGGATCTTATCAAGCAAAATCTCTGAAACCTGTAAATTATTGCAAGAAGACAAATAAACAGAGTTTTTAAATATGATGTGTGGCATTTTATCCTTCCTGAAGTCTGGGCCTTTTAGTTAGCTGTTTCTCCAAAACCTGCCATCATTGAATTGTCTAAACATCTTGTGTGTGTGCAAGACAGAGATCTATGTATGTACATTAAATTCATTTAATTTAGCATTGGCAAGATTCTAGCATGTTTACTTGTTTGCTTGTATGCCGTTCATTGTGTTTATTCTATGCTCTGTTGTACAAATGGTTACCTCAAGTCATTACCTAGGTTGATCCTAACTTTTCTTCTATATTTTAGGTAACTTATTCCAGTGGCAGCAAATGCTTCAGCTGTTCTTCTGCTGCCGAAAGAGACAAATGGATGGAAAACCTGCGCAGGGCAATCCAACCTAACAAGGTACTATTTAAGGTGAAGCCTCAGAAAAGCATCCATTAGTAAAATGCACCCTGAGTAATAGCATTCTTGGCCAAGCAATATATCAAACTCTTCCCCAAAAATAAGCACTCCCATTTAATTAGGTTGATGGCAACAGTATAGCTGTCCCAGAGGAAATGGCACAATAACACCAAATTACATTCTGCTGAGCTTTATACAAAAGTGTTATAGATATGCATGGTCTTCTGTCACCCTTGTTAAGTACCCTCTTTTCTAGGATGCTTCTCATTGTCTGACTTGTTTAAAAAAGTACCTAAGTATTCAAAAGCTCCTTTGTTCTTTACCGAAATGCCAAAGTGCTAATAATCCTGAATTTCAAAGTTTTAATTTACAAAAAATGTTGACCAGAGCTCAGAACTTGTATGAATCAATCCCTGATGAATATGAATCAATGAATTTTTAGTAAATTTTGATTCATTGATTCATTTGGCTATAAAACACCCCCCAGGCACCTAGAGACACCAAAATCAGCCCCCCCCCACTCAAATCTCCTCTACAATCCCTCCAAGTTCAGTGAAGATTGGGTTTCCCCAAGCCAGCTGCTAAAGATCACTTTCCTGGGGGGACTCACTTTGCACAGGGAGATTAGTTTGAGCCATGCATTTATTACACATATGGAAACCAGAGATAAAAGACCTCATAAAACAAGCCATTGCACTTGGCAGGCAATTAAAAAGAAAGAAAGCTGGATCATCATAACTTCCAGCCAGAAATCCAGTATCTGCAACCAGGCAACACTGTTGTGTCTTATGTGCATAATGAAAATCTTGACATTTACAACACACATGTATTACAGAACATGTGAACCAGGACATATATATAGCATTTATGCACATGTACAACAAACAATACCCCACATCTTCAAAGCATATGGGATATGGGTGTATGGCAGATGTGACAGGATGCACAGTTTAAGGTGGACTAATTAGGTGAAACCCATTGGTAGGTACATATTATTAACCCGGGTAGGTGGGACTCGTCAGCCATGTAAGGCAGCCCCTCTAGGAGAAGGAAAACTCTGATTTCAAACCTCCACTGCCTTATCCACTGATGGAAAAGGCTTCAGGAGTTAACCTCGAGGCAAAATCCGGAGCAGGAGTCCCGTAGACAGTTCATGTTGTTCTGCCAACTCCTGCGACATCGCTGGAACCAGTTGTATTGGCTCTTGCCTTTCCATTGGACTATTTCAGTGACGTGGAGAGGGGGGATTTGCTGCTTGGGTAACAGCCTATCCTCCATATTATTCTACCCAGGCTTCGTGCTCTGGAGAGGACACTCCAGCTTGGCATACAGTGTTGAAATAACACAGGAACTAGCAGTTACTGGTTATAAGTCTTGCTCGATTGGCATAGAGCATGATGCCAGGGGCTACTTCTGATGGTGGGAGAGCTGAAAAGCAGATCAATAACCCTACACCATGCAACAATCAGAAGAAAACATCTGCCCTAAAGTTGGGCACCTGGAATGTTCGGACAATGCCCCCTAGCTTTTCTGACAACCTGCAGGAAATAGACAACGTGCGCAAGACAGCTGTCATCGACATCGAACTGAGTAGACTGCAGATGGACATTGTTGCCCTGCAAGAGATGAGATTGCCAGACATGGGATCTGTCAAAGAAAAAAACTTCTCATTCTGGCGTAATGACCCCTAGCTTTTCTGACAACCTGCAGGAAATAGACAACGTGCGCAAGACAGCTGTCATCGACATCGAACTGAGTAGACTGCAGATGGACATTGTTGCCCTGCAAGAGATGAGATTGCCAGACATGGGATCTGTCAAAGAAAAAAACTTCTCATTCTGGCGTGGAAAACTATTGAATGAGACCAGGGAATATGGTGTTGGCTTTGTGGTCAGAAATACTCTGCTGAGATCCATTGTTCCACC